AGAATTCCATGCATCCCACCTACACATGGAAATTCCAGGGATAGATTGTTGGAATGGAATGTGCATTTTTTCTCTCTCCCTGGAGGGACGTATCCTGCTTACCTAATTCCGGAAGGTATTAGCAGCAGGTTGGCAAGAGCCAAGGCTTGGGGACCCCAGAGTGTGTGTTTGGGGTACTGCTGGAATCTAGCCAGCTAAAACCACATAGCTTGTCATTGAATACCTGGAATTTCAGCCCAGGGAAAAAAAAGGTGCGTTAAATGAATAAATATTGTGAGCATCATCGGGGGATAATAAATTAAGGTACGCCATAATATTTCTTCCTCTGCTCACTTTCTCAGTGCTATGCCTAGTTAAGTTTCCTGTTCTCTTCCATCTTCAATACTTTACTGAAAGTTGTGCTATTTTGCTGATGTGATGTCCTTGCCTGGGTGATCCTTTTATGCTTTTCCAGAGATAAGGGCAGTTTGAGGGGAGGGCAGCATACCAATGTAGCAATATAACATTTAGTGCTGGTCAGGGGAGGGCTGCACTCATTAGATTAATGACCAGTGCATAGGATGGTTGTGTAGACATAGAGCCTGTACTTCTCAGTTGAAGAAACACTTCAATAAGTCACTGCTTTTCAACAGAATGATTCGTAAAATTAAGATTAGTTTGCGGTATTTCTTAATGTGAAACGTGTAATCAATTTGAATTTCCTCTTCTGCAGCTCATTTAGTGTTTTAGAAAATGTTTTTCCATCATTTCCCATCAAGAAATGCCGCAAATTGGACTCAAATTGTTCTACAGTAAGAACAAGAGTCATAAAAGAATTACAGTCGGAGTGGGAGAAAAAGAGCTGAAGCCTCCCACCGTATTTGTGAGACCTGTTGTAAGCAGAGCGACCTGTGTCAATAGGGGAAAATGGAAGTCAATCAGTAGGAATTTTCCCCAGTCAGAATATTTGGTGTGTTAGGAATAGGAACAGGAGCAGTCTGAACCGACTGCAGAATTTTCCTTGGAACAAGGAATGGATTCAAGCATTGACTATGGGCTTGTAACCGGTACCATCCACATCCACCATCCTTTGAATTAACAAAAGAGCATTTTAGTCTCAAGAGCAGGGGTAAAGCAAAAATCTACAGCGCTCGTCTTATTTCTCAGCCGAGAGCATCTCGTTTGGCATTGCAGGTTTTCTGAATGCCTTACCTATGGCCTGACAGTTGCCGTTTAGTGCATGTCTTTGAGATCTGGCTGCCAGCCAGGATTGCTCTCTGTTTACCTTCATATCTGCCTGGAGCCTTGAACCTTCAAGCGTGGGTTTCTTCCGCTGCATTACATATATAATTACGTAGATTTGCGTGTAATAAAAAGTATTAACTTGCATTTGAGATTAAAATACTCCATCACACACGTGCAAAAAAAAAACAAAGAACAGGCATTTTTTTGTGTGATACATTACACAGATAGACACTGGAAGAGTGTTCCATCACATTTCTTCTAAAAACACACAAACCATTGGGTGGAAGTTTTTTGAAAAAAAAGCCTTGAATCTTCATTCTAAAAAGATGTCGCTTTTTCATAGGGTTTACTGGAAAATAAATCACTCCAAATCGAATGGTATAATGTAAACACATTTGATATATATATATATATATATATATATATACCCTGAGCACCTCCCAATCCCCCAAAGCTCTGTGTTCTGTATCCTGTTATATCACAGTTTGATCCAATGATTGGTGGGAGGTGGTTCATAGGTAATTATGGTTCAATGTTAGCAGCTCCTCTTACAAAATATATATATTTAGCCCATTGTCTCTGTGAGTATGGTTTGTGCTTCAGAAGAACCAAGCTTAGCTGTGTATTTTACTCAACTCACACAAAAATAATAGACTTAGCAGGTATCAGACCACTATCCCTCATATTTTGTTACGAAAATTCCTTAAAAATACATATTTTAAATTGATAAGACAGTTATAGGTTCACAGTTTACACTACTGGCAATCTTCCTTCGGGGGGAAGGGGGGGAAAAAAAAAGCCCATTACTCGTTCAAAGGTTCGGTACCTCAGCAAAGTTTATCCACAGCATTTGAAGTCGCCACAGTTTCGGGTCAGTGTCAAGAGTCAATGGCAAGTGTCAGCCAGGAACGAGTGCAGTCAGCTGCTGTTCCAGCCTGTTCCCTCCCAGGGCTCTCGCCTCCTTCAACAACCAGCGAGGGAGATTCAAGCCACAACTTCACTGACTGTAACACTGGCACGGAGGACTGCATTCCCTTCACCCCGATATTTCCAATCAGCCGATGAGCCGTAACAAAAAGTAATAACGATAATCCTTCAACTTGCTGTGAGCTCCACAGTGTGAAAGCGCTTCACTGGGAACTGCTGTCAAGTGTATTGTTTCCCGCAAACAGCTGTGAAATCCATGACCGATTTTATCTGGGTGGGTGGAAGGGTAGGAGGGTTGGAGGTGGGAGGGTGAGGTGGTGGGTGGGGGTGGGGGGCGGCGGGGAGGAGAGGTGGAAGGAGTTAATTGTTGGCCAGGACTCGGGGAGAATCTCGCTTTCCCTGATTGAGCTGCAGTGACAAAAGCAAGACTTCAAATCCAATTTCGCGGCAGGCAGGACTCAACGTGTGGCAGCGAAGGCAGCTTCACCCAAAATAAAATTATAAGTCGTCCTGCGATTTCGAAGTTAGTGATTAACATTACATTGGCCACCATCCCCCTCCCGCCACCCCCCACCCCACCGCACTCCTCATAAATAGAATCAGAGCTCTGAAGCATTTCATCGTTGCATTAAGTGTTTTGACTTTCTCTATCGCTGAGGCCTGTCAATCAGACAGGTTCCAGTGTCTTGGTCGGTGGTTGAGACAAAACAAAGTGCTGCAAGACTGGATGTCAACGCAATAAGCAAGAGCAAGAGATCTGAACCTTCCAAGTGCTTCCTTAACCTTAAAGTACCACAAGCACTTGTCAGGGTTAAAGAGTTCAACCACTATAATTCAACTGAAGACAGCGACAAGATTTAATTCCTCCCCACCCCCCCCCCCCTCCGCTCTGGTCCTCCCCTCACTCCCCTCCTAACCCCCCACCCCCCTCACTTTTGTCCGGTTGCGGAGCCAACGGTGCCGTGCCAGAGCGATATCCATCAATAACCTTTTTATAATTCACCTCATTACACAGCGGTTACATATTTACTTCAAAAACAAACACGACATTGTACGCTTAAATGCTGTTTAAAACGAGGCACTGGCCAAGAGGACAGCGACATCAGGGGTTTGTAAATGGGTGGGTGAGTTAGTAGTAAACGTCTAAAGTACACTGGCCTATTGTGTTGGATGGGAAATGTTAAGCATGGAATTAAGTGCTGGCCGCCGTGAAGTCGTGTCTGAAGATCACTTTCCTTTGTGAGCGCATGGGAAACACTCGGCCACAAACTTTATTGCCCTCTTATAAATTCCTGGGCATCAGATAGACGTTATATGGTTTTATTAGCCATTTGGAAAATAGTCTCTTCCCCTGTTTGCTACCTAACATGTTGGAAGGGTAGAAGTCCTCACTTGTTTTCGCGCTCTCCCCAACTCCCATCCCATCCCGTCTGCCATTTCGGGCCGATTTTGTGCAATGGGGCGCCTTACGTGTTGATTTCCAACGGGGTTCCTCAATAAGGAGCCTTGACGAAGATTCCTTGCGGGGGAGCGGATGTAGGTTTCCTTCGACGGGCAGGAACCCTGCTCCAAGCGGAGTTCCCGCATCGAAAGTTCCGCGTCCCGGAAGCAACCCCCACGCAGATTCCTCACTGGGGTAATTCTACCCCTTTAGAAATCGTCATGTGTCAGGATGGACCCTACTGTCTGGCAAATGGCTAACAGGAAACTCCTCTAGAGCTGACTGCCTTGAAGCAGACATTCACAGACCGACAGGATGGGCATCCATTGATCAGTGATGGATCAGGTTTGAGCCTGGAATCCTTCGGGAACCCAGCTTGGCTGGAGGCCTTTGTGAAGTGAGATGAGTTCACTTGATGAAGTCCCAAGTGGTTGGACTCGTATTTCACTCTGTACTGCCTGCAAGGACAGGAAAGGGCATCTCGAGTTTAAGAGTCGGGAGACTGAATTTCACTATGGCTGCATAATGTGTCTGAATGTAAAGAGGAACTGCCACCACTGTAAGAGAGAGAGTCAATCAATCCTTCAAAAGAAGTTGACTGATAAAAGCCCCTGAAATAAGTGCTCTCATGGAGAATCTGTGCCGGGCTCCAGAATAAATAATAATAATAGTAATCCATTCATTTGATATATCGCCCTATCACGTCATTGAAACATCTCATGTGATATACAGTACTGTAAAGTGTAGTGACTGTGTATTCGTAGGCAAACGACTGCCTAATTGTGCAGTTTGGCAATTGGATATGGAATCAGGTTACATCCACTCTTTGGAGCTATTGACCCTTCACCTAAGCTCTCACTGCGTACTTTAAAAAAAACATTTAGACCAACGCAGGTTAAAGTTCTGGCCAAAACGAATTGCGGGATGTCATAAGTTATCTGAAGGTTGTTTCCGGAACTTGGTCTCACACGGAAAAAGGTCCATTTTGTTCAACAAGCGGTGCCGTCAGATCCACAAATAAAATTGCCTTATCAAAAGGGTTTTACTCCCCCTTCCAAACCGAGAGAGGCGAATTCTTCGTAAAGTATCAGGAAAATGACTTTAACGAAGAATTCAACCAGTTCAAACCTCCCAGCAGCTTCACCAAAGACATATTCCCGTCCCCAGGGCTGGGGCCACGCTGGGGCCATTCTGGTATCTGATGGCCCTCCGTGTTCGTGGGCTGCAGGTAGAGGGAGATACCAGCACTGCGCAATTACCCGTGGGGCAAGCAGAGCCAGGGGAAATACAGCGTTTATTACTCCCGGGTGCCAAGCCTGTGGAATGGACAACTTTTATCATTCCAATGTGCTGGAGAGAGAGCGAGAGAGCGAGAGAGAAAAAAAGTACTTTTTAAGGAGCGAGAAACTGAACTTTGCGATTGTCCTTTAAGATTCAAGTAGAAATTCATAAACAATTGGAAATTCTGTGACTGAGCAACAAATCAACGAGAGATGCCCCGATCCCCAGTGTTCAGTACAGCAGACCCAGTCGGGAAGGTAGTCTACGGATAGGAGTGGGGTTGGGGTTGGGAGAGGGTGGTGGGGGTGAGGCTGGGGGTTAGGGGAAGAATGATTAACTTGAGATTATCCGAGACCAACGTCGAGTGACATCATCAAGACGAAGCCCAGGATGGACATCCAGGAAGCCAGCTTGCCATTCCCGCTACAAACAAAAGCAAACAAGGTCAGTGTGTCTTTAAACAGATCCAGCTGTCCATTGGCGTACAATTCGGATCACATTCCTTGCGCCCCCCCTCACCACCCATCAGCTCCCCCCTCCCCCCTCCCCTTTGCAGCTCTCTAGCAAAATTACTGTGTGCGAATGCGGTCATTCCAATTCTTCCCAGGCTTTAATACAGAAAGCGAGCGTCACACCCCTCCTCTGTGCTCAAACCCTCCCTCGGGCAAGATTCCTTCCCTCTCACAGTAACCAGACGAAAGTACTGCATTGTAGTTGGTTTAAAAGGACACGGGGGTGATAGGCGTCAGAGGGTGCTCCATGCAGGAATTTCTAACGGGATTCTCCACCAAGCGAATCGGAAAGGCGTCACGCCAACCTCCAACGTGCTCCTGTCAGAGCGGCGTTCCCACAAAAATCGTCATGGGACGGACTTTCCCGGTCGCCGAGTGCGGTCGCCGGGCCCCAGTGGGATTCCCTTTTAAGGAACGTCGCTGTAAATCACCGCACATTTGGTGCCACTGTACAAAGACTAAAGCAACGGCTCAGGCATCTTGTGCTCCGCTGGCACTCATAAATCGCTTGCCCTTTGCTCTCATTATTGTCCCATCGTCAGAGCCACTTCATTGAATTATTGCTTTGCAATCTCCTGCCAGACGCCTGTCGGGCTGCAGTTATCAAGCACTCTTGGCACTGATATAACAAGGTACCTTGGACCGACCAGTTTATCTGGTGGCTGAGGTAATTGGGAACACTCAGCTGGTCTGGGTTTGAGACGGGGAGGTGGGTGGGTGGGGGGAAGGGTTGCTTTGAGGACCGTGCGGTGCTCACCTGAGCTGCGCTTCGGGAATGATGTCGTCCACGACAACGTAAACCATGGCGCCGGCAGCAAATGCCAAAGCGTAGGGCAGGATAGGCTCCGCCAGAACCACAGCGAAGGCTCCCAGCACTCCGGCCACTGGTTCAACCATACCACTTAGCTGGCCATACCTTCACAACAACAACAACAACAACAACAGAGGCATAAGAAGTAGAAAGATGGGGTAAGGGCTTGAAGGGAGGTAAAGAAGTAACCCTCACCCCAACAAAATCAGGTTAAGCAAGGGGATTTCATAAAAGGTTTTAGAAGTATGAATGCTTTTGAGAGGATAAATAGGGAAAGCTGTTGCCACCGATCGATGAGTCAATAACAAGGGTCCGGAATTATTATCACCTCCAGAAGAAAAGAAATGGATTTAACGAGACGTTGAATGAGTCATTGTAAACGGGTGTTGAGATTAAGCACATAGAGAAAGGAGCGGGAGAAATACTCAAGGACAAATCGTTTTAAAGGGCAGAATCGAATCAGAGTAGAAAGGTTCACGTGTGGTGTTTGGTGTGTGTGAGGCGGGGAGAAGGGAGAGCTTACAACAGCAGAAACAACGCTATAATGAGCCTGTGAGGAAAGGCGTTAACATGAAATGCTGCAGTCGTGCAAATGCTGTGGGCTTCAGGGCCAGGAGTGAACTGGGGGCAAACAGCCCGACAGGTAAGCGTGCGAACATGCGTTACCTTAGCCGGACGAAAGCTTCCCCTCCGCCCAGCGAGCGTCCCAGCAAAAGTGGCGCGGTGGGAATTATCAGGAAGCCGAGAATCTCTAGATAACACTAAGTAGCTACAGAGAAAGCTGCTTTTTGTTGCCACACAAAACCACTCAAAGTGATGACATGTATGTATGGGATCAAAGCAGGTTGGGCTGAAATAAAAATGTTTATCTCTCAATAAAGACAGATCTGGCGGGGAAGGAGACAGAAGTCAACTGCCAATAAGATAAGATGAAGAACAACTAACCAGCAGACGTGCAAGTGCGCTACGTTATTAGTTTTTCTCTGCAATGTTTTCGTAGCAATGTCTGTCGTCCCTCAATCCAGTCAGCGAATGCTGCTTTGGCGACACTTTATATAGACACTAACTGGAATCCTTCAGCAATGTACAGCTTGGGCGATCTTAACCCTTTCATCAATGTACCGCTCGCAATCGTAACCCTTTCAGCAATTTAGCCCTCACGGCCTTAACACTTTCAGCATCGTACGCTCACGGCCTTAACCCCTTCAGCAATGTACGGTGCGCGAACCTTAACCCCTTCAAGAGTTCTGAGCCTCGCGCTGTGCGTGGGAATCACCTACCAGAAGGCTTTCCACGTGGACATTCCTGCTCCACGCAACGGTAGGCTGACCGCAAGGCCTTCGGGGAAGTTCTGGAGTCCAATCCCAATTGCTAAATTCCTGCAATCAACAAGGAACACAAAGAGATCAGAGTCAGCGGATGTCAGCGGGTAAAGTAACATGAGCCTGAATCTCTCACTTGCACCTTTGCCAAGCAGATCGCTTCAACACACACACACACAGCTCATGTTTAAACGGCAACGCTCCATCCCTGTTTGACACAAGTGCTCAGGGTTGGTGGTGGGGGAGGGAGCGGAGGGTAGTGGGGAGAAGGCTGGGAAGAACCAACTCAAGTTAAAGATCTGTCAACAAAAGATAAGTAGCAGCTTCAAAATTCAAGAGTTTTAAGGTAAATTTCGGTGGACGTGTATTTGTTCCCTTCCTTTCATCTAAAATACATTGAATTTGTCTTTGACTGCTCAGGGCCATTCCAAAGAAGCCCTTTGTAAAGAGAGCCCTTGAGGGTAATGAACCCAGTGTATGGCATGAGCTGCAGATGATTTCTAATAATGAAAGGCTGCTTTGCTTTGCTACGCTGTATTCTCCTTGGCTTGTATTGACTGCCACTGGCTTGGCTTCAAGATTCTGCCCTGGAATAAAATAGATAAATTGGAGCTAGTCACGAGAAGGCTGCTAAAGCCTGAATACATTCCTCTTATTGTGTAACGCAAGCCAACACCCACTGGCACTCGATATATCAATCCTCAAATGCCAGGCACAGGACATACACCAAACCTCTTGTTAAAGTAGTGAATGAAATACATTTCCACGAGTTGTTTTCCTGTTCATTGCAGCTTTTCATTTTGAAGGCAGTAGGTGCCTCTCTGTGTATAATATATACACACGCACACACACACACACACAATACTCTTCACCATTACCGTTCCCTCCACCCCACTCCCCCCACCTCCACTCCTGCAACATCCCCTTTAATGAAATATGGACTCGTGCAGCTTAATACTTTGCCAATTGATTGAATCAAAGAGGCTGCCTGCAGCATTTAAAATAAATTATTCTAATGACTGGCTTTTTCATGCACCACTGGGACCCACCTAGGAATGCAACTTAGAAGTGCGCTATGAAGGAGGGTGTTTTTTTTTGAAAGGGCTGTGGTTGACTGAGCACTGCTGTTTTTTTCCCCCTCTCTTTGCTACCTTTCCAGCGCAGACTGTGTGGTCTCATAAACAAGGGAAACGTACCTCTTCCCCACTTTTTTTTTTGCCTTTCAATTTCACACTTGATGTGCTTGTCAAACACAGAGGGGAGAGGAGGGGGGATGGGGGGGGGGAGAAGGAAAGAACCCTGTGGAAGTAATCATAATAATAATAAGAGGCAATAATCCGGGCATGTGATGCAGCGCCTTTCATATTAAGATGACCCCTCAAATATGCTACCTCTCTTACAATGCAGGTTTACCATGCACTAACTGAGCCCCACTGTGTCTGTGAGCCGTGATCATACTCGTTGCCTACTCTACACTTTGCAGTGTATCCTGTGAAGCGCCTTGTGACGTCTGTCCAGCGTGAAAGGCATTGTCGCAAAGATTTTTCTTCTTCGTATCGTCGGTAAAACGGTTTGACCTCGATTTGGGGCCGGATGATAAATGAGCACATCGCACGCTGCAATTTTCACCCCAATGATGGCGTTTGATCCCGAACGAACAGATAGCTGAATGCCCGCCGTTACACTGGACTTGCCCTGCTCCCACCGCTGTGCAATCTCACACGGAGATGAGTCTGGCTAATCTGCTGCCTTAACAACACAGTGCACAGAGTGACCCTCATCTACCGGTGGCATGTGGTACAAGCTGCTCACACCCCTAACATATTGAAGGGGAAATTGGATACGTAGTTCAGCAGGAACAATACAAAAGGGTTTGGGGGAACGAGCAGGTCATTGGGATTAGAGTGCACAGTTCCAGAGGAGAACTCTATGGGGTGAATGGCTACAATTCGCTGAACACATACCATCTAAAATATACCAAGTGTGCCACGACCAGCTTTGAGTAGATTGTCTCCAGTAATTCATTGAGAGTGACACTCTCTCTCCAAAAAAATGTGGTCACTGAATCCACTATTTGTGGCACGCTGCTGTGCACAATTGGCTGTTGCGTTTGGCCCACAAAATACACAGTCAATCCACTTTATGCTGTATTCTGTGAAGCGCTTTGAGATGTCTCAACGACGTGATGAGCTGCTGTAGCAAATGCAAGGAATATTATTATTATAACCTAACCTCTGATAACCCTAATTTTTTTCCTTTGCTTCCACTTTGTAGAGCGGAACCTTCTGTATAAACCTCTAACAGGTTCTCCGATTAACTCAGGAGAAATTTTGTGTTTCTTCAGTTTCTCAGGCATTTTGCTCGGGCGGTTTTTCCCACCGTGTCCAGATTCGCTCATTTTATGTAGAGTTTCAGAGCCAGGACTTCGGAATTTGGTAAAACTGTTAAATTCAGTCTTAGCTTTGAAGTTGTGACAAATAAGAATAAAACTTAAAACAGAAAACCGGGTTCGAAACAAAGACTGCGTTAAAAGAACTTGCCAAATTCTGAATGTTCTCAAATAGTAAGGAAATAGTGTAAATCTAGACTCAGGTGAAGACGTTTCTAGCCTTAACATTATGCAGACTGGCTAAACGTCCAATATGCATTACGCTTTATACTTTGCTACAGTTGAACCCCTTGCAAAGACTCTTAGGTGCTCACATTAACGAGCAATTTCAGCATTGGGGCTCAAGAGACACACAATAGACCCCAATGTGATCTGATGGGGAGATTTTTTTTATTAATCTCAGAGGATCTTCCCGATGTTCTGGTTGGGCTGCCGACAGCAAAGGCAAAGAGGAAAGAAACATTTCTAAAATCGATTCATCCTGTGGAACGGGGCATCGCGTGAGACAAGGGAAGGAAAACTGTGGGAATTTACAGGGCGTCTAAGTGGAGTACACTGTGTGCGTTCCTCCAAACACTGCAGCTGAAAGCCAAGATTCAAAAAACCTCTATTGTCCTCTGTAAAGGAGCTGTGGTGAGTGTTGTTGTGTTTCGAAACTCGGTGGCTGCGTTTTTTTGCCCATATGGTTCTTGTGGAAGTTATAAATACGATGCTATGCAATTTGTGAACCGTTTGGACCTGCTGCGAGGGGAAGAGGCAGCCGTTGTACAACCTAATAACGGGAAACGGGCTGCAGAGAACAAAAGTCTATCTGTTAGCAGCACAAAAGCTGCCTCTACCACATCTGCACATCAGCCTGCAGCACACAGGGAGCACAGATCCAGCTGGAAACTCCAGCTTGAAGAGGAAAAATAAAAAGAGGACATCACGCACTGGATTCCTGCAGAGTCTCAAAGGTCGTATTGTTCTAGAGTCACAGCAGTCTTGAGTTAACAGCACAGGCTTCTTCCTCCCAAGTTGGTCAAGGCTTCGGGTTCCCAGAGTCACTCAACAGCACATTTCGTGCCTCGCTCGCTCGCTCGCTCACTCACGGCAACCCCTCTGGCTCTCAGTGGGTTCCTCGATGTGTTGGAGGGAAATGAAACGATTGAAACGTCTAGTGCAGTGCACCTTGTCTGCCTGTCTGTCAGTTTCAGGGCAGCGATGGGGAAGCCAGGGCAAAGTTGAGCTCTCTATGAAGCCAGGGAACCGCACAGCTTGGCACTAGTCCAGCTAGGATGCCTTCGGCTTGCAGGCAATGAGGACGTGCTTTATAGTGAAAGTCTGTCTTGAATTACTCGGATTTTCCAGATCTCTTCCTTTTAAGTTTCCCTTGATCTCTTTATTCAATGATTTGGCATGGTTCTGGCAACATTTTTTCCTCTTCCTCACAGAAGTACTGTATATATTCTTTCCATTCATTCCCCTTACAAATTCCATTTTCCTTGGGTTTCATTCTCCAGTCCTGCTTCCCACATAATCCACCCGAGCTTGCTTGCCGTAGGGCCAACATTTGCATTCCTGAATCACTGCGTTAGTATTTTTTGGCTTCAATAAGCAGAACATCTAATAATCATCACGGGAACACGAGCGTTACCCCACTTCCAGGGCATTCATCAGCTCTGGTTTAAGTGCTAACCATTAGAACTGGATATGGTGTCGTCTTCTCTTGTACTCCAATTCAGAGTTAAAAAAATAAGTCACCGATTACCTCCACAAAACGTCTTCTGCGCGCTGACTTCCTTCTCACTGTTCCTGGTCTCTTCCTGTCTTGAAAACTGCGTCACTCCCAACGTTCTCACACTGCGATCTCTTGTGGTTTCTGTTACTCCCAACCTACTCCGATCGAGCTGCAGGACCTTGCCAGTTGCTATTTAGTTCCCCACACCATTGCCGAATTCTGTCCAGGTTGCTTTTTCCGTCTCTTCTTCTCCCGTTTCTATCCAGCCTCTCAGCCTGTGCTAATTCCTTGCCAAGCATGCCACGCCTCTGCCGAACTCCTCAGGTCCAAATATTTGAACTCTGTTGTGTTCGGGATTGGAAATTCAGTCGGTTAGCAAGGTCACCGCCAGCCATGCCATTGAGAAGATCCATTTCCAAATGACTCTGTCTCTCCCTCCCCCTGGACCATTCGTCCTCCCAACTAGGGAATGGTTGACGGCTGTTGATGTTCCTTTCTTTGATCTATCAGGACCGGAACCGTAGGAATTTCCGACGATTCAGCAATGTGACCTTCAGGGGAAGATCGGGACAAAAACAAAATCGGGGGCGATTGGATTGTAACTCAAGGTGAGCTCGGAAATTTCTCAATGGGTCCGAACGGACGCAAAAGAACTGTTAGATTTCCAGTTCCGCTGGCTCCTCCACAGTCCGGCTCAGTTGGCAGCACTCTTGCCTCTAGCTCAGGAGGTCGTTGGTTCAAGCCTTATGTCGGGAACTTTAGAGGTTACGGTTTAGGTTGACACCCCGATGCAGTGCTGGAGAGAGTGCTGCATTGCAGAGGTGCAAGTCGTGAAACAGAGGTACCGGTTCAATCGGACTTTCAAAATCCCATGATACTATTCAAAAAGAGAAGGGAAGTCCCAGTGTCCTGGCCAACAACTCTTCTTTGAAAAAATTAGTCATTCAC